TAACTATTTTTGTAAACAAAATGCATACTCTGTCGCTCTGGGTTATCTTAATCTAATGCTAAATTTAACTCACATGGCAGCACTTTGTAACTAAAACCCATTTTACTGTTTTATGAACATTATTATTCTAAATGAAATTTATTTATTTCATTTAGTAAATAATGTTCTTAATTGTATTTAAAGATAAAAACATGTTTTGCTTAGTAACTGCTACATATAGTTGCATTGCTAATGGCTAATGCAAAAGGCCATTTGTTATCTAAATGTTTGCTAGCATTAAATCAGAGGAGTAAATAAAACTTTAGTGTTTAAAATGATGTTTATCTGAGGAAAGTGGCTTCCATATAATACAGAACAACCTCTGTTTGTTTGTTTGTTCCTCTAAGGTGGCCTTAGGCTCCTTAGACTTAGACATTAGACAGATTTATTTTTTATTTTTGTTTACACGATATACAAAAATAAATTTTGTTTAAAACAGCTCTAGATAATTTAATTTTTTTGAAGTGCAGCCTCAAAAACAGCAACAAATACATTCAAAATAAGTAATATAAACATATGACTGTATATTTACAGTTCTAAAATAAATGTTTTTTTATATAAATAAAATAACTCATTTTACACAACATTCAGCAGTCTAATGGCAGTGTGGAAGAAAGTGTTATGGAATCTGCTGGACCTGCATCTGATGGCTCCTTTCGAATGAAACCTTGAAATGCTTTTAACTGTGCTTGAGTCCGTTTGCTCATGTTGCTGTGAACAGAATTCCAAGGCCATCAAACTGACTCTGGAAGCACATCCTGGCACGGTAAAAACTGTCTTATCATGCTTCATCCCGACTCTCGAGGTGTTCACTATGCCTCCCCTTTCAAGCAAACCAGAAGCAGGAAGACAGTCCAGTATTTAGTGTTTTCAGACAGGCTACAATCAAGCATTTAAAATCCCCAATTAGTTTTTAATAGTTTTGCCTTTTTTGAGTTTTTGTTGATGACAAGTAAACTAAACTTATACAGTTACAATGAACAGGGACCGATTTAGGAAATTTGGGGCCCTTGGCAAAGGCAGGCATGGGGCCCTCTTAAATGAGAAGACAAAACATAAAATTATTTGCTCTAACTTTTGACCCTCTCTGTCCCTTTTCGTGTTGTTTTCCTCTCTATGTTTTCTCTCGTACCTTTTTCTTTTCATATTGACAATGTGCTCAGCTGACATTTCATGCTGTCTGAAAAGCAATGAAAGATTTTTCCAATCACTATTTAGCTGTTTGCTTCTTCCTGTGTTTACAAAAAGGTGACGGCAAAAGTAAATAACACAGTCCTCCTTATCACTGTAGACAAGCCAGGATCTGCTTACCTGTTCTCCATTTTTCATGTTTATAAATTAATAGCTGCGTGAATCATGACAGCAGACAAGATAGAGGAGAGCAGGAAGCGGGGTTACCAATCTACTTGCTCTGGAGAGCAGAGTTTGGTGCTTTTATATGTTGTCACCAAACAGAGCATTTTATTGAAAGGATTTCTAAAATCATAACTAATGTGCATAAATAAGTAATAGCTGCATTTTTCATACAGATAAAAGGAGTTTTATGAGGCCCTCAGGAACTTGGGACACAAGGCAACTGCCTAGTTTTGCCTAATGGTAAATCTGCCACTGATAAGATAAATCAGATAAGAAATAATTAGATAAGCAATAATTAGATAATTTAATTATGTTTTTAGTTTAAGATAAATGGGAAATGTGTAGCAAATAAGATTATTTACAAAAATGTCTAAACTTTTTTTGGATTCACTAATGCATTAAAAGTAATGTTGTGAAAAGATGTAATTATTCAAATAATGATTAAACATGATCAAAAATAATGATGAATGACTAAACTATGGTATACAACAAAGAAAATCTAAATCATGTTCATGGTATTTCACTCTGCAGACTTTTCAGTCCCTGTGGCTTCTCTCCCTTTTAGCCCAGTCTGCAGACTTTTCAGTCTCTGTGGCTCCTCTCCCTTTTAGCCCCAACAAGGACTCAGACTCACCCCATCTACCTGAAATCCCACTTTTCCTCTAGCTCCAGTTTCAGTCACCGTGGGAGGTTGTAATTACGGTATCGGGTTACAGAAGTGATCAACATGGAACTGCTCAACCAGCGTCTTTCTCAGAGGTCTCAGCTTTGACACTTAATTCCTGCAGCTGAAGCCAGGAAACAATTTGTGATTTTTCTTCCCACCTGAATCAAAGAGAAGCCAGTGTAATAAGCAAGGAGAGAGGAAAAAGGAAAACTACCCAGCTTCTAGAGAGAAAAGTTGTAAATTAATGCATCAACGCATCAAAGTCAAGAAAACAATAAAATTGGGGCAACATCTGAAACATGAGTTGTTCCCCTATAGATAAGATGACCTAGTGCTTTTAAATCATTTTCTAATGATCTATTAATATGTACTTCTAAAGGTCTTCTGGCTCTAAAAGGCTCTTGAGAGATCTTTGCTCATCAGATAAACACAAGTCTTGAGAGCAAAGGAGAACACCACCATCTAGTGACTGAAAGCAGAGTAATTTACATCAGGCATAAACCTGACATCAGGCCTGTAAGGGCCATGAGTGCATCTGCAGAGAACAGGGAAGTCCACTGGCTGGGATAGTGGTAGGAGATACAGGATGGACCTATAAATTTACATTCCCTGTGAAGCAATTGAACTCAAAGGATGAAATACGACCAACACGTAGGAGTCTGATTTACAGTGGACTGACTTAAACGATGTGAAAATAAACAAGGGAGCCAAACACAGTATTTAGTGCCAAAGGCTAAAAGACAGGAGGGTGAAACCATTTGACCTGTCTGACATTTGGACCCTTCTTATCACAGTGTCTACTTGTAAATAAAACCACAAACGTTTGCTGTGCAATCACTCTGCGTGTTCTGTTTGATTTTCTATACTGAGGTGGCGGCTCAGTTTAGATACAAGGTTCAAAGTTCCCAGCTGATTTTTTTTGCAGTTGAAAAGCTTATTATTCTTTAATCTGTCAGTATACATGATTGTCAATAATCCCTGCCCTCTAAATACAATGAGCTTTAAAAGCAGTGCAAAGTTCTAAAACTAGTGCTTATATTTACTTATCAACACAAAATAAGGTTAGAAAACTTTTATTGTCATGTTGTTAGGCAGAGTGAAATTTTGTTTTGTTCAGCGATCAGAACATTTCCATTCCATAAAGTGCAGCAGTGATGGAATGTAAACAGTGTGGGAGAAAAAAACATGGCTCGAAAAAAATAAAACACTCATTGATATGGAAGTCTGGGCCAGTCCAGCTGTCTGAAGGCGGTGGGGGAGAAGCTGTTGCAGAATCTGTTGGACCTGCATTGAATGCTTCGAAGCCTCTTCCCAGAGGGCAGCAGGGAGAACAGTCCATGGTGGGGGGGTGAGGGTTTATTGATGATGTTACGGGCTTGGGGAAGAGGAGCCGCGATGATCTTCTCTGCTGTTCTCACTACTCTTCTCACTTTCTACCAGTCTGAGGCGCTGCAGCCTCCACACCACACAGTGAGACAGCTGGTCAGAACGCTCTCTATGGTGCTTCTGTAGAAGGTGGTGAGGATGGGGGGGGGGCAGCTGGGCTCTCCTCATCCTCCGCAGGAATTACAATTGCTTATAAAAAAAAAAAAAAAGTTTTAAAAGATCCGTTATCAGTAGAAAGGACACAATAATGTGCAGCTCTGATCAAAAGCTGACAATTTTTTGTCATCAAATGTTTCTCATTAGGAGGAATTGTTATTTAATGATTATCATAATGATTTCTAGAGCATGAGGTTATTTCACAAGTTTAGCTTTATAGTCTTTTTCACAGTCTTTTTGTAATAATCATCCCGCTGCTGATGTAATTCTATCTATCATTATCTATTTTGCTGAAACTGGTTGGTCCTCTTGCACGGTTATGAGTCTCCAACATTTAAAATGGTAGATTTTTTATTTTATTTAAGAAGGGCACTCCAGCCACTGAATGTTAGGTTACTTCATGCTTTCAAAAACAGCTTTTATGTGTTTGTGATCAACTCCATCCAATTGTCAGATATTTGACAGAAACTCAGAGGCCACCAATCCTCAATCCTTAATCGTTAATCATAAAATGAAACACAATAGTGAAACCACTTATGTTGATCTATACACAAGGAGTAACTCCTTCACAGCCCAAGTGCTTTGGACAAACATTATAGCAAAATGTAATCAAATTGGACAAAGTCTTATTCGGCGACCACAACACATGGAAGGAGTTAGGTTGCCAATCCAAGGAGCTCTGTACAAACTGTGAAGGCTGCTAGTGACACTATTATGCCATGGGACTATTAAACTAGCAGTAGTTTAATGGGCACTGAACACAGTGGATTTTGTGTGTGTGTGTGTGTGTGTGTGTGAGCCTTGTTTTGCCATTATGGAGATGGAGCTACCACACATCAGGGAGCGCAAGGAGAAGACTCCCAATGGTGGAAAACATGGAGATAGGAGAGGGTTGATGCAACAGTACAGAATGGGGTTAAAAAATTAAAAATGAATCAGGTGATCTGCCATGGTGAGCCCAGAGGGGAGCAGACAGCTTTAGTAAAATTCATATACATATATATATATATATATATATATATATATATATATGTATCAATATATCTAATAATGATATTTAATAATTATTTTATAATATATTTCTTGCATGTCTACCGCAGGTAAACAATGTGGTTTTCATTTGATAAGAGCAGTCCCTTCCAATCTCAGCAGGTGTGATTTTCTGTGGCTGCAGGTTCTCAGGTAATAAAGCTAAGGCTGTAATTTATGACAGCTCATCAGAAAGATTTAAATGGAGATTTAGAGGAAGAGTCGTTCTTGCTGCGGGTTGAGCTGCAGATCCAACACCACACTGATTCTCTCAGGTGAGATTTAACCTTAATGCTTTTATTTGAATGTTTCCATCTAATGTTTTGTACATTTCAACTTTAACTCCTGTGTTTTTTGCAGCCTGAACATGACTGTTTCATACTCTCTTGAAGTGGCCAACGCCAGGTTTCATGGCTTCTCCAGGTTACTGTTAAGGTGGAAGGGAAGCATCTACAAGCTGATGTATAAGGAGTTCCTGGTTTTCTGTGCAGTCTACCTTTTCTTTAGTGTGTTTTATAGGTAAATTAGCTTATTCTACCGTTTCACCAGGCTTACTGCTGCAGCATCACTAAAAGCATTTTCTGTAAACAGGGTCCTCCTCACACCGAAGCAGCAGGATCTATTTGAGCGTGTCGCCCTTTACTGTGATCAGTTCACCAACACTAACTTCATCCCTGTCCTGTTTGTTCTTGGTGAAACCCAGTCATCAACATCCCTTTGATTTTAACATAAAATCCCTGTTCTTAGTTTTATTTAATGTTTGTTTTTGTTTTTTTAATCTAGGTTTCTATGTGAACCAGGCCTTCACCCGTTGGTGGGGTCAGTACACCAGTTTCCCTCTGCCAGATAACCTGATGATGGTGGTGTCAGGAAATGTGCACGGTGCTGATGAGAGGGGTCGTCTGCTGCGACGGACCCTTATGAGATACGCCAACTTATCCTCAGTTCTGATTCTGCGCTCAATCAGCACCAGAGTCCGTAAACGTTTCCCGACCTTGGAGCACGTCGTGGAGGCAGGTGGGAAAGAGGCTGCAGAGAACCGGCTTTTTATTGGGGCAAAAAAGAGATTAGTTAAGCACAGCCCATTGCCTGATTATGTAAAATATTACTCTTACATAGTGCTCCACATCATGTGGACCATTTTAGATATAAATATATTTTAAAACTTTGCTGGTTTTCCTTTTTTAAGGTATTAAACGAAGCTCTTTCGCTTTAATAACTTCTGAAATTTCTTTTCTATCTCTGACGTTGGCTTGTTTTAAAACTTCTTAAAAACAAATTCCTAATTAATTTTATATCTGTGAAATTACCTTTCCCCGGAGCTGCTCATTACTTGTCTTAAGTTTGACTTAAATTTAACAAATAAACTCAGTTCATTGTTATTGTTCTTCTGGAAGGTGATTCTTCACAAGCCTCCAAAATTCTAAGAAGTTGTTTTTTAATATATTTTATATATTTAACTTCATCTTATCTCTTATTAAATCTAGATAGCTACCAGTTAGGTTTTTACCCCTCATAATGACGCTGTCACCACTGTGTTTTATCAAGGTGATGATAAGTTCAGCTTGATTTATAGTGTTGGTTTTACGTGACTTCTCTTTTGTTTGCAGCAGATCAGAGCACATTTTGTGCAACCAACCCCCCCTCATGACTTGGGGAGTGAAAAGTTGAAATTCTAGTCCTTCTTTCAGCGCTGGCTGTCTTCTTGCCAATCTCTAATAGAGATCAGATGTGTGTAGTCCATTAGGTAATCCAGTGGGTTGTTCACCTGAGCTGTGGATCTCTGTAGTTCCCCTGAGTTAAAGTGGATTTCTTGGCTCAGGCTGTCAGGTCAGCTGGGTGGCCATGTGTTGACGGGTTTACTGCTGTGTTTTATGTTTTCCATTTTCAGATGATAGACTAAGCAGAACTTTTAAAGATTTCCTAAGCTGGAATATTATTTTATAACCCAACCCAGCTTTAAATCTAACTAAACCTGCCCTGACCTGTCTGCTATGTCCATTTATCTTCAGGATGCTGTAATATAATTAATCAGACTCATAACTTTAAACAGTTTGTGTCAAAGACCTCATCGATACTCTTCAGATTTATGTTAATAGTACTGAGATAAGCCTTCTATGGTAATAATGACCTGTTTGGTTACCTCCATTTATAGATATTGAAATAACGTCCATAAAGGTTTGTAAAACGCAAATAAATAATTTAGACAGACTTTCTTATCATTTGATATGCACAGAGTGTATAGAAAAAGAAATTTCCTTCAGTACAGCTCTCAAGACATGTTTCAAGTACAGCCGTGACAATCCAAAGGTAATATTTTTACAGTGATAATGCAAACAAATAAATGATCATTAATCTCGAAGACATCAAAATAAAAAAAATAAACCAGAGTTAATGTTTATGTTTGGATACAGCTTCCAGTAAATTATACATTTTTTATTAAATCAAGCCGCTAAAACCAGAGTAGCAGTGGACCTGTAGCATGATAATCATCAACTAAAGTTTATCCCTATAAATCATCATTATCAATATATAATAATAAGCATTTTGTTTTTATTTCATTTGTTTTTAAGTTTAAAATTGCATCGATTGAGCAAAATAAACTAAATTCCTCTGATGATTCTCAGTCATCCAGGTCATAGTCATTCCAAAAAAGTTAAAAAACAATCCACTGGACTTTGTTTCCAAGTTTAAAACAAAGTCCAGTGGATTGTTTCAAACGTGGAAACAAGTTTGAAACAATCCACTGGACTTCAATCCACTATCCTCAATTCAAAAGGAATTTCAATTCTGAAATGAAAAAGCTTCCTGGATGGGAAGCGAAACGCCTTCAAACTTGGAAACAAAGTCCAGTGGATTGTTTTATATGTATTTATGTTTTTTGGAAAAAAATTTTGAGAGGAAAAATAAAACTTTTATTTAGAAAAGGAGCTTGAGTATTAGATTTGCTTTTCCTTACATCTCCTTTTACTTTTTACTCTTTCATAACTAATTCATTCACTTTAAGTGTTTTTGTATTATATATATACATTCATGCAGGATTCATGACGGCACACGAGCTGAAGAATTTTGAGTCTCTGCACTCAGATTTTAACAAGTACTGGATGCCCCTGACCTGGTTCTCTAACCTGGCAGCCCAAGCCAGACAGGAAGGCCGGGTCAGGGACGACATCGCCCTCAGGCTGCTGATGGATGTGAGTACTTTGTTAAAACATAAAATACCTTAAATATGATATAGTATATATAAATATATTTGTGCTCTAGACTTTCTTACACTAACAAGTTATCCTTATTTATCCTTTAAAAATAAAAACTATCACACTCAACCCTAATGAATAACAAGATAGATAATACTGCATTTGTTAAATTAAGTGAAATGCATACATGCTTTGTATATTTTTTCCCGTCTCTGAAAGGAGCTCAATAACTACCGAGCCAAGTGTAGTCTGCTGTTCCACTACGACTGGATCAGCATCCCTCTGGTCTACACTCAGGTATGATTTGAAATCCCTTGAAATATTATAAAATCAGCTTTTTTCAGGTCTGAGGATAAGGATGTTTTTTCTACATAATTTAAAACAAACTATAGGTTTGGATAAGATTATTGATGAGATACAAATGAACAAGAATCATAATAATAATAATTGAACTTTATTGATCTTACATTGGAGAAATTTCCCTCTGCATTTAACTCATCCCCTTGGGAAGCAGTGGGCTGCCATTGTGCGGCGGCCAGGGAGCAGTGTGGGTTTAAGGGTCTTGCTCAGAGACCCAGAGTGGCAGTTTTAGGGAGTGGGGCTCAAACTCAGAACCCCAGTATTCCTAGCTCTATGCCCTAACCCAGAGGTCTTGAACAGCATGGTACCCCCATGTAGTACCATGCAGAGGTCCTGCATGGGGGTCGCGAAAGAATTGGTTGATGAAACTTTTATTTTATATTCCCCCCTGCAATTTTTTCCACTAATTGAAATGTCTTTAAATCCACATTAACATGAATTCAACACACTGTAGTAAACAGATTAATGGAGGCAGAAGATGTCTTTCAGTCATCAATGCACACATTCAGCGACACACAGGAGCTCCTTCAAGCTGGGGACCGTTTCATTCACAACACCTGTCCCATCAACCTGGAATCAGAATCAGAAATACTTTAATAATCCCAGGGAGGAATTACTTTCCTTACATTACTCCGTATGTAATAGACTGACTATAGGACCAGTTTGATATAACACAATTTCATACCATAAATATAATTAGGGGGTCCCTGCTCCATCTCACCATCAGTTTGGGGTCCTTGGCCTGGAAATCTTTGAAGACGCCAGCCCTAACCACTAGGCCGCCACTCCCCAGAGTACTGTCAGAAGTGGGATTGACAGTTACATTCGTTTCAGACATGTCATTTTTAAGTATTGCAAATATTACAGGTAAAATGTTTTGAAGATTAAAGTGAGGGCGTTACCTACTGCAAAAACACTTTTGTAAATGGCAATATAAGATAAAATTCAATTCAATTCAGTTTATTTACATAGCGCCAATTCACAACACA